ACCATCCTGGCCAACATCATGATACCCCATCTCTACTAAAAATGCAAAAAAATTAGCTGGGCACGGTGGCACATGCTTGTAGTCTCAGCTACCCAGGAGGCTGAGGCAGTAGAATTGCTTGAATCCAGGAGGCAGAGATTCCAGTGAGCCAAGATTGAGCCACTGCACTACAGCCTGGGCAACAGTCAAAAAAAAAGTTAACACTAAAATAGTGTTTATGATGTGCCTGGTACTGGTCTAAATATTTTATGTATATTAAGTTACTGTGTGTGTGTGCGCTCACGCACTTGTGACAGGCTCTCATTCTGTCACCCAGGCTGGAGTACAGTGGTGCAGTTGTAGCTCACTGCAGACTCAACACCCCCACATACACACACCTGGGCTCAAGTAACTGGAATTACAGGCATGCACGACCACTCCTGGCTAATTTTCATATTCTTTTTTTAGAGATGGGGTTTTGCCATGTTGCCCAGGCTGGTCTCCAATTTCTAGCCTCAAGCAATCCACCCACCTCAGCCTCCCTAATTGCTGGGATTACAGGTGAGCCACTGCACCTTGACAGTTATTTGCTTCTTAAAAAAAAAAATCTTATGAGGTAGACAGTAATATTTTGACCATTGCATAACCAAGAAGACAGAGATGGAGAGGGGTTAACTAGCTTGTCCAAGGTCATACAACTCATCAGTGAAAAGCTGAGCCCACACTCTTACCCACTGTGTAACACAGAGAAATGGTACAGTGTAACCCCATTCTTTACTTGTAAAGCTCTCCTAAGTGCACATATATACACTTGTGTTAGCATAGAGAACAGTGGAAGGGAACGTACCTGAGTGTCTGCCTTGGTTACTTCAAGAAGTAGAAGCAGAAAAGATTGGCAGCCTGGGATAGACACTAAGTTACTGCCTATACATGATTCTTTGAATTTTGTTCCTTTTTTTTTTTTTTTTTTTAATTTTTTGAGACGGAGTTTCGCTCTTGTTACCCAGGCTAGCGTGCAATGGCACGATCTCGGCTCACAGCAACCTCCACCTCCTGGGTTCAAGCAATTCTCCTGCCTCAGCCTCCTGAGTAGCTGAATTACAGGCACACACCACCTTGCCCAGCTAATTTTTGTGTTTTTCGTAGAGAGGGGGTTTCACCATGTTAACCAGGATGGTCTCGATCTCTTGACCTCGTGATCCACCCGCCTCAGCCTCCCAAAGTGCTGGGATTACAGGTTTGAGCCACCGCGCCCGGCCCCTGAATTTTGTTCCATTTTTTGAGACGTAGTCTAGCTCTGTTGCCTAGGCTGGAGTGCACTGGCACAATCTGGGCTCACTGCAACCTCTGCCTCCTGAGTTCAAGCGATTCCCTGCTTTAGCCTCCCAAGTAGCTAGGATGACAGGCACATGCCACCACACCCAGTTAATTTTTGTATTTTTAGTAGAAATGGGGTTTTATCCTGTTGGCCAGGATAGTCTTGATCTCCTGACCTCAGGATCTGTCCTCCTCAGCCTCTCAAAGTGCTAGGATTACAGGCATAAGCCACCACACTCAGCCAATTCTTTAACGTTTTTAACAGCAAGTCTATACTACTTTTGCTCTTATTTAGTCTTTAAATGGCTATTTTTTAAAAAGAAGGAAAATTTCATAGAATTCTATGAGAAGGGCTCAAGAGGCCTCAGCGTCATGCCCGAGTCTCTGCAGTATCTCCCACTCCACCCACACTACACCTAATTCTGGTGTGTGCAGACTTGGCCTGAATCTGACAGAAAGACTCGGGGAACCCCCAGGGGTTTAAGACTCACAGAACTGAACATTCATCATGTTTGCATGCAGGGCAGTGATAGTACTCCTGTGTTTGCTTAAAATATTGTTTTTCTACATTTCAGGCTTCTCCTTTGATAAGTTAGTTATATTATAACCATTTCCAGTTACTAGGTGATGCAATCAATGTGCCGATTCCACAGTGATCTCTTGGGTAACCCACAGAGACATCTGAATCAAACTTTATGAATCTTCATTCCCAGCAAGAAGAGAGCATGTAAAAGTTCTCCCCAAAGAGATTTGAAGTGACTATTTCTCAAAAACTATAATCCACCACAAGCCATCTAATTATCTTCTTTTTAATACAGATGTTCGAGGGTATTCAAGAATGTTCTGCTTAAAGGCTAAATTCTAATAGGGTGCTACATCACAAGCCTGAGAATCAACACATAATAATTTGAAGGATAGTTACAATGTGTGTATATACAACAACCTAAACTAGTTGGATGGCTAGATAGATGGCCAGGTAGACAAATAATACAAACAGCTAACGTTTACCTAGGGCTTCCTAGAGGTGAATAGCTGTGCTAAGCATTTTGTAAGTTTCTCCTCATTTAATCCTCATAGTAGCCCTATAAGAAAGTACTATTTTTTTTTTTTTTTTTTTGAGACGGAGTTTCACTCTTGTTACCCAGGCTGGAGTGCAATGGCGTGATCTCGGCTCACCACAACCTCCGCCTCCTGGGATCAGGCAATTCTCCTGCCTCAGCCTCCGGAGTAGGTGGGATTACAGGCACGCGCCACTCTGCCCAGCTAAATTTTTGTATTTTTAGTAAAGACGGGGTTTCACCATGTTGACCAGGATGGTCTTGATCTCTTGACCTCGTGATCCATCCGCCTCAGCCTCCCAAAGTGCTGGGATTACAGGCTTGAGCCACCGCGCCCAGCCTAGAAAGTACTATTTTTGATTTAAGAGACAGTCTCACTACATCACCCAGGACTGAATGCAGCACCTATTCACAAGTGTGATCATTGCACACAGCAGCCTTGAACTCCTGACCTCAAGCCAGCTTCCTGCCTCAGCCTCCTGAGTAGTTAGGACCACAAGTGCATGCCATGGATGAGCAAGTACTATTTTAATCCCTATTTTATAGATGCAGAAACTGAGTCTAGAGAAGTTGAGTAACTTTGCCAAGTAATACAGATAATTAGTCGAACTAAGATGTGAACTCAGGTAGTGTAGCTTGGTAGCCAGGAGATAAACTTCTATAATACTCGGCTTCAGTGGATTTATAAATTATTCAGAATGTCTACAGAGCTACTTACAGATAACATAATATCAGGCCAGGTGTGGTGGCTCATGCCTATAATCTCAGAACTTGGGAGGCCCAGGCAGGCAGATTATTTGAGGTCAGGAGTTCAAGACCAGCCTGGCCAACATGGTGAAACCCCATCTCTACTAAAATGCAAAACTTAGCCAGACATGGTGGCAGGCACCTGTAGTCCCAGCTACTGGGGAGTCTGAGGCACAAGAATCGCTTGAACCCGGGAGTCAAAGGTTGCAGTGAGCTGAGATCATGCCCTACACTCCAGCCTACAAGATAGAAGGAGACTCCATCTCGATAAATGAATGAATGAATGAAGGCCAGGCGTGGTGGCTCACACCTGTAATCCAAGCACTTTGGGAGGCTGAGGCAGGTGGATCGCCTGAGATCAGGAGTTCCAGACCAGCCTGGCCAACATGGTGAAACCCCGTCTCTACTAAAAAATGCAAAAAATTAGCTGAGTGTGGTGGCACATGCCTGTAAACCCAGCTACTCGGGAGGCAGAGGCAAGAGAATCACTTAAATCTGGGAGGTGGAGGTTGCAGTGAGCCAAGATCATACCATTGTACTCCAGCCTGGGCAACAAGAGCGAGACTCCATTTCAAAAAAAAAGTTTTTTTAATTAATGAAATAAAGCATTATCACAGGATAGGGCAATACCTTGGAACACTGACTCTGAAGCCAAACTGCCTTGGTTCCTCAACCTCCTTGGACTTTGGTTTTCTTAACTATAAAATGAGAATAATATTGATAGCCCCCCAACCTTGTAGTGAGGATTAAATAAGTTAATTCATGTAAAATTAACATTTAATGAGATAATAAATGTAAACTAATATATGTAAAGAGTGTTTCTGTACACAGTAAACCTTCAATAAATGTTAGCTAGTGTTATTTCAGGAGACAAAAGACACTGAGAATTGTCTCAAGGTTTCCCTTGAGGAATGTCTTCTAGTTTCAGCATCAATGCTAAGTGTCTTTTAAGGTGCTAAACCAATCTTTAAGCTTGGCACTGCTGTGCAAATTGAAAAAGTTAAGAATAAATGCAATAACAAACATATGAAAAAATGCTCACCATCACTGGTCATTAGAGAAATGCAAATCAAAACCACACTGAGATACCATCTCACCCCAGTTAGAATGGAGATTGTTAAAAAGTCAGGAACAAACAGATGCTGGAGAGGATGTGGAGAAATAGGAACACTTTTACACTGTTGGTGGGAGTGTAAATTAGTTCAACCACTGTGGAAGATAGTGTGATGATTCGTCAAGGATCTAGAACCAGAAATACCATTTGACCCAGCAATCCCATCATTGGGTATATATCCAAAGGATTATAAATCGTTCTACTATAAGGACACATGCACACAAATGTTCACTGCAGCACAGTTTACAATAGCAAAGACCTGGAGCCAACCCAAATGCCCATCGATGATAGACTGGGTAGGGAAAATGTGGCACATATACATCATGGAATATTATGCAGCCATCAAAAACGATGAGTTCATGTCCTTTGTAGGGACATGGATGAACCTGGAAACCATCATTCTCAGCAAACTGACACAAGAGCAGAAAATCAAACACTGCATGTTCTCACTCATAGGCGGGTGTTGAACAATGAGAACACACGGACACAGGGAGGGGAGCACTACACACTGGGGTCTGTTGGGGGGAAATAGGGGAGGGAAAGCAGGGAGTGGGGAGTTGGGGAAAGATAGCATGGGGAGAAATGCCAGATATAGGTGATGGGGAGGAAGGCAGCAAATCACACTACCACGTGTGTACCTATGCAACTATCTTGCATGTTCTTCACATGTCCCCAAAATTTAAAATGCAATTTAAAAAAAAAGAAAAAAAAAGAATAAATGCAATATAAACAAAGCTCTTTAATTTCAGACCTTCTCCATTCTGCAGTTATACAACATGACTCACTTGAAGAATCTGGATTTTGCGGAGAGACTGGCTTCTCCAGGGGCTTAGATTCGTTTTCCTCCACTTTCTCTGTGGTTGAAGCCAGCTCCTCTTTCTTTCTTTCTCTTTGCTCATTCCATTCCTCATATTCAATCTTGTTGGTAAGAGTCTTGTCAGATTCTTCCAGCATCAGGTCCTTTTTACCTCTGACAGCCCAGTGCATTGACTAAATTAATGTAAAGCAGAGACATAAAAATTAAATTGATATTATATGGTTTTCTATATTTAAAGTTTGATATGTAGTAACACCTGACCTACTCCTGTAGTGCTAATTAACAGCATGTTAGACGTGACTATTAATCAGATACTGGTAAATTAATTAAAATATTAATCCAACTATTGATAGTTACTTTTTACCACACACCCTTTTGTACCTTTATCATCTTCTGTTCTGTATATGTATTTTCTATTAGATTTAAAAATTGAACAGATGGATGAATGGAGGGATAGATGGAAGAACTAACAGATGAATACAGCAAAAAAGAGAGCTTTTTGAGTTTGCTATCAAGAATGTTTCAAGTGGAATCATTAGTCCTAGCATCAACCAAAATAATGCATAACTGTTTCTTAAAACCTCATCTGGATACTGTGGGAAGCTATTCCTGAAGTGCTAACGAACAGTGACATACTACCTCTATTAACAAAACTCAAGACTAGAGGGAAACATAGCCTTTTAACACCCTAAAATCATAAATATTCTAGCTCTCTGCCCTACTCAAATCAAAGCAGTCATATATTTCCTCCTCCAACCTATGTCTTCCCAACTACAAAGCATCATCATACTGAACCCACTTCCCCAAATATAACCAGTCCAGAGGATAATCAACTAGGATCTATGAACCACCCCATCAAGCAGCCACTCCCACCAATAAATGTAATCAGCTCTCACCCGAGCAAGAAAAAGAAACGGGCTGGGTGCAGTGGCTCATGCCTGCAATCCTAGCACTTTGGGAAGCCACGGTGGGTGGATCACTTGAGGCCAGGAGTTTGAGATCAGCCTGGCCAACGTGATGAAACCCTGTCTCTACTAAAAATACAAAAATTAGCTGGGCATGGTGGCACACACCTGTAATCCCAGCTACTCAGGAGGCTGAGGTGGGAGAATTGCTTGATTGAACCCAGGAGGTGGAGGTTGCAGTGAACTGAGATCGTACCACTGCACTCCAGCCTGGGCAACAAAGCAAGACTCTGTCTCAAAAAAGAAAAAGAAATAGGAAGGAAAGGCACCAAAATGTAACTGTAGTTATGCCTGTGTAATAGAATTATATATTTAGTTTTTGTATTTCCCAAATTTTCTATGAGAAGAATATATATATGTACAATTAGAAAACATTCTATTTTAGGCCAGGCTCAGGCACTCACACCTGTAATCCCAGCACTTTGGGAGGCCAAGGAGGGTGGATCACAAGGTCAGGAATTCCAAACCAGCCTGGCCAACATGGTGAAACCCCATTTCTACTAAAAAAACAAAAATTAGTTGGGTAAGATAGTGAGCGCCTATAATCCCAGCTACCCGGAAGTCTGAGGCACGAGACTCACTTGAACCCAGAGGTTGTAGTGAGCTGGTATTGCACCACTGCACTCCAGCCTGGGTGACAGAGTGAGACTCTGTCTCACAAAAAAAAAAAAAAGAAAGAAAAGAAAACATTCTATTTTAAAAATTAAATGTAGTTTTGTAGTTATGAAGCAAAAACATACAAGGAGGAAGATTCCTGGTGCCAACAATATGTGTGGGAAGGGAATAGTTACAGAGTAAACACTTCAAAACCATTTCCTAAATTGTAAATGCAAGTATTACCCATTTCTCTGTAGATTTTATTTCAAAATAAAAATGTTAATTTTTAAAAGAGGAAATACCTCAGCTGGTATTTAAAAAAATTGGCTTTTGTTTGGCTGATTTAGGTTTGTTGTTTTGGTTTGGTTTTTGCATATGCACAGAATAAAAGAGGCTGCCAGTGACTTCCTTACAGAGGGAAAAGGATATTAGGAAGGTTAGTGAAAAACCAGGAATAAGACATTCAAGAATTCAGGGCCCAGAGAGCTGAAAATGTAGACTGAGAGCTTCACAAACCAGCAAGGTGGCCTGTATCTGATGTACTCATCTCTGCGCCTCAGTTCTTCTCTCCTGAAACCAAATACCTATGGTCTGCCTTAGATAAGTGGTTAGGATTAATGCCTAATCCACAGTAAATGCTTTAAAGGCCCTCAGTGAAAAGATATTCTGAAATAGTAGTCTTATTCATCTCCTTTGTGAGCAAATTAGAATAAAATATGTTATTATCAGACTCCCACATCTGCTGATCCTAATTAAAGAAATATACAGAAGAAATAGCCAAACTGTATCTAACCTTAGATACAAGTGCTTCTCAGGCTTTGTAGTTCAATCAAAGGACTGATATCAGAGTGATGCAAAGCAGCCTGGTTTGCTGGGACACAGTTAGATAGTCTGCAAATCACTTATTTCTGTGTTCACAGAGCATATTTCTCAACTCCCCAGTGGTATTAGTTGTACAGAATAACATTTAACATCAAGTGAACTAGTCTATTTTGGAGCAATTCGTTTCAATAGAATCAGCATCAGTAAAAGATATCAAAAGACAACAATTTATACAGACTAAGAGAGAGATTAGAAAGGGGAGAATCTGTACAGCAAGATAATAAAAGGCACAAGACAGAAAATCAGTATATGCATGGAAGGAACTAACACTAAACAGAGAGCAAGCCTAGGTGCAAAGGCCACTAATCTTAACAGTTTGTGAAATCACTATGTTCTTCCACCTTCACAATTAACTCTTTAACCAGCTTTCTTCAATGAGTTGGGTTTTTTTTCTAGGAAGCCATTTTCTTAAATTCTAGACCTTAGTCAATACTAGGAAATAGTGCTTGCCTCAGCAGCACATGTACCAAAATTGGAATGATACAAAGATTAGCATGGTCCCTGTGCAAAGATAACAGGCACATTCATGAAGCATTCCATTCATACACACACACACACACACACACACACACACATACACACACGGAAATAAAAAATTTTGATTACATGCCAGTAAACACTGGCACAAATTTTTTAAAAATCCATTGACTCAGGTGAGCTGAATAGCTATAGAAAATGGATCAGTTATTATTATCCTGGATCACTGATCACCATGAGTGAATTTTTTTACTTATCATGGTGATTTCTGACCTGCTTTTGGATAGTATCCACTTAAGACAGATCGCCTTTTGAACCAGCAGAAGGTGTTAAATTGCACACTGTTTCCCGTCTGGCTGGTGAAACTCTGGCCATGTGGGCATAGTAGGACACTTTCCTGACACCCCAAAGACACCTTGCCCAGCTGGGAACCCAGAAACAATGAGCAGACAAATAGGTCCACATGCAGCTGACCCAATAAGCCCTCCCAGAGGCAATCAACTTGCCAAATGATTGATTCCCCAAAAATGTGTTGCTATTACTCTTTATAAAATTTATAGCAATTGGGCCGGGCGCGGTGGCTCACGCCTATAATCCCAGCACTTTGGGAGGCCAAGGCAGGTGGATCACGAGGTCAAGAGATTGAGACCATCCTGGTCAACAAGGTGAAACCCCGTCTCTACTAAAAATACAAAAATTAGCTGGGCATGGTGGTGCGCGCCTGTAATCCCAGCTACTTGGGAGGCTGAGGCAGGAAAATTGCTTGAACCCAGGAGGCGGAGGTTGCAGTGAGCCAAGATGGTGCCATTGCATTCCAGTCTGGGTAACAACAGCAAAACTCCGTCTCAACAACAACAAAAAAATTTATAGCAATTGAAGTGGCATGAGATAGTTTTAATAGCTTATGAGAATTTTCCTCAGCTATTCATTTTGACTGTGCCTTTGCTGTGGCTTCTTTTTTTCCACAGCCATCCTAAATCCATGCTGCCATATATTTTGGTGCTAGAGGGAGAGCCACCCACCCCTGGGTCCCTTTGGGTAAAACTGTTTAGCATGAGAACTCTTCAGATTATCCCAGGATCCCAAAAGCCTGGATTACTGAACCCTCACTCTATATCCTCTTTTTCAAACCAATATTACATATCTAAATTTAAGTTGCCAACATATTCATCGACCTGGGTGAGATCTTAAAATAATTTTACAAATTAAACTATCAGGAGGAACTTCTAGAAAACAAAAAGAGAAATAAATAAGTAGGGAGTAAAGTGACAGACTTAGTGTGAGGAAAAAATACCAGTTCAGTTGCATTACTCCTGGGTGATAGAAATGTGGTATATATACACCATGGAATACTACTCAGCCATAAAAAAGGGCAAAATAATATCTTTTGCGGCAACTTAGATGGAGCTGGAGGCCATTGTTCTAAATAAAATAACTTAGGTATGGAAAACCAAATATTGTATGTTCTCCATTATAAAAGGAAGCTAAGCCATGGGTACACAAAAGCTTGCAGAGTGGTATTAATATAATAGACTTTGGAGACTCGGGGGAAGCTGGGAAGGAGAGGGAAGGATAAAAAAACTACATATTGAGAGGCCAGCATGGTGGCTAACACCCATAATCCCAGCACTTTGGGAGGCCAAGGCAGGCAGATCACAAGGTCAGGAGATTGAGACCATCCTAGCCAACATGGTGAAACCCCATCTCTACTAAAAATACAAATATTAGCCAGGAGTGGTGGCATATGCCTGTAGTCCCAGCTACTCAGGAGGCTAAGGCAGGAGAATCACTTGCATCTAGGAGGCAGAGGTGCCAGTGAGCCAAGATTGCACCACTGCACTCCTGCCTGGGCGACAGTGAGACTCTGTCTCAAAATAAATAAATTAAAATAAAAAATTACATATTGGGTACAATGTATATTACTCAGGTGATGGGTGCACTAAAATTCCAGACTTCACCACTATACAATTCATCCATGTGGCTAAAAACCACTTGTATTAGTCCGTTTCACACTGCTATAAAGAACTACCTGAGACTGAGTAATTTATGAGGAAAAAAGGTTAATTGGCACAGTTCCTCAGGCTTAACAGGAAGCATGACTGGAAGGCCTTAGGAAACTTACAATCATGGCGGAAGGTGAAGGGAAAGAAAGGTCTTTCTTCACATGGTGGCAGGAAAGAGGGAGAGAAGCGGAAAGTGCCAACACACTTTTAAACCATCAGATCTCCTGAGAACTCACTATCACTGAGAAAAGCAAGAGGCAAACCCGCCCCATGATCCAATCACCTCCCATCAGGACCCTCATCCAATTCAACATGAGATTTGGGCAGGGACACAAATCCAAACCATATCACCACTTGTACCCCAAAAGCCAATGAAATTTAAGTTTTTATTTTATTTTATTTTTGAGACGGAGTTTCGCTCGTTACCCAGGCTGGAGTGCAATGGCGTGATCTTGGCTCACCGCAACCTCTGCCTCCTGGGTTCAGGCAATTCTCCTGCCTCAACCTCCTGAGTAGCTGGGATTACAGGTACATGCGACCATGCCCAGCTAATTTTTTATATTTTTAGTAGAGACGGGGTTTCACCATGTTGACCAGGATGGTTTCAATCTCTTGACCTCGTGATCCACCCGCCTCGGCCTCCCAAAGTGCTGGGATTACAGGCTTGAGCCACCGCGCCTGGCCCAATTTAAGTTTTTAATATAAGAAAAATATGGCACCCCTGACGCTGTGACATTTGAGGAATTCTGCCGAAGGAGATTCCCAAAATATGATCTTGTGTGTGATGCCACATAAGTACACTGTGATTTGTCCTGCCTTGTGGGTATAGGAACTAAAAATGCTCCCAACCAGAGTGATTATACTGCTTAAATAAAAAGCAGAAACACAGGGTTGATGGTGTAAAGGAAAGGGAATTTATGAGATTTAACAATCTGTAAATGTGCTGGGCATGCGTTTTAGATACATGTCACCTGAAATTGAAATCTTAAAGTTATAATCATTTCGTTGTCAGAATGGCATATATAATATAGTAGTCTGACCTTACCCTCAAGGGGTATTCCAAGACCCCTGTTGATGCCTGAACCTTGGGTAGTACCAAACCTTACATATACTATGCTTTTTCTGATATATACACACCTATGATAAAGTTCATAGTTCAACCCCAGTCCAAAAATAGGTGAGTACAGTACAATAAAATATTTTGAAAGAGAGAGTGTGACAGCACATTCACATTACTTTCATTACATATGTTGTTATAATTTCCTAGTTTATTAGTTATTGTTATTAATCTCTTACTATGCCTAATTTATAACTGTGGCCATGAGGGCACAGTTCTCATAAGCTGTTAAAATTATCTCATGCCACTTCAATTGCAACAAATTTTATAAAGAGTTAATAAAAACACATTTTTGGTGAATTGATCATTTGACAAATTGATTGCCTCTGGGAGGGCTTTTGGGTCAGCCCCATGTGGGCCTATTTGTTTGCTGATTGTTTCTGGGTTCCCAGCTAGGTAAGGTATCTTTGGGGTGGGTCCAATCAGCCATAGACTACCTATCAGGAAAGCTTTCTACTATGCCTGCATGGCTACAGCTATAAATTAGGTACAGTAAGAGATTAATAACAATAACTAATAATAAACAAGGATAATTATAACAATGTATGTAATAAAAGGTACGTAAATCTGCTCTCATACTCTCTCTCAAAATATTTTATTGTACGGTACTCATCTATTTTTGCACTGGGATTGATTGCAGGGAACTAAAACCAAAGAAAGCAAAACTGGGGATAAGGAAAAACACTACTGAATACCTGACTCAAACACCCTAATGATGACATTTACCTACAAAACAATAGACAATGATCTCTTAAGTGATAACAATACTAGGTATGATAATTGTTATTAATTTCTCTTGAGTAGCGGAATGATAAACATGAAAAAAGACACAAAAAGACAAGGTGACAATTAAAATGTTATAGAGAGAAGTGAGGCTCTCACATGCAGAAGTTACTGTAAGGCATAGAACAGAAAGGAATGAGAGGAAAGTTACAGAGCATCTATCAAATGAAGTCTAGAACAGGTAATACTTGATATACAGGTCTCAAAGTCCACTGCAACAGAGAAATAGAAGGATATCAAAAACAATAAGGTTTGGCCCAAACAAAGAAGACCGTATGAGGAAAAAAGATCACTGCTGATTTGAAGGAGAGAGATATACATCTCATCATTTGAAGCCACATATAGCCCAGCACACTATTTCAACTTTGCCCACAAGACAAATGATGCAGCCAGTAAGATCTAAAACATAATTATTGTAAAACCTTGAACAGTTCACAGTTAAGCTACATTCAAAGCAGAAATAATGTGTTTGGAGACAGGAAATTAGTATTTAATGGAAAGACGTTGATGATATAAACTCAAGTGGGGATGTGGAGAAGAGTTTTTGAAAACTTCACAACTAACTGAATATGAGCTACTAAAAGTTAAGTGATACAGTTGAGTGGACCATCCACGAAAAGTGAGCTATAAATCAGAAAGTGTTAGAAAAGCAGGACTCAGTAATTCAGTTGCAGTTACAGTGTGCCACACTTAGGAGACTGGGAAATACGGTTAGGCAGAGTTGGTAGAACAATGTTTATTTAGCTAGTGTCAAAAAGGAATTTTGAATTTACACAATGAAAATGACCAAAATCTTATATTCAATACATAAAGCCACTATTTTTTTAAAGATTCCCTCTAGTAATTGTATGCATTTCTACAGTAATCATATGGTTAGTCTCTCATAAATAATTAGCCCACCTTAAACAAATCCACATGAATGCACACTTCTTTCCAACAATGCGATGAAGAAAACAGCTTACGCTTTATGTAGAGTCGCTTTAATCACACACTTTGGAAGTTTTGCATTGCTCTTCCCCATTATTTCAAAAAACACTCTTCAATGTTATGGGCCTTTTGTCAACAATTTGCTCAAGTCTTCTAAAATAAAAACTATGAAGAAGGAAATCTAAATGTAACCCTGAAGGGCTATAATTTAAGAGATGTGAATCATTTTATACACTAATTCTAACTGTCCCTGAAAACTTATCTATGAGGTAATTTCTGTATTATAAATCCCATGTCATAGAAAAGTGTTCCAATGGAGAGAATCTAGGTAATAAATCATGACTAAATCTTTAAAATTACATTTTGTCTATAATATATAAAGGTCAATGTTGAACAAAATAAATATATAACAGTAATTACAGTGAATATTTTCAGATTTATGTCTTTTAATGACATGAAAAAAAGATAACACATGTTTTTGGTTTTAGTTTTGGTTTTTTGAGACAGAGTTTCTCTCTTCTTGCCCAGGCCAGAGTGCAGTGGCACAATCTCGGCTCACTGCAACTTCTGCCTTCTGGATTCAAGCGATTCTCCTGCCTCAGCCTCCCAAGTAGCTGGGATTATGGGCATGTGCCACCTCACCAGGCTAATTTTTATATTTTTAGTAGAGACGGGGTTTCTCCATTTTGGTCAAGCTGGTCTCAAACACCTGACCTCATGATCCGCCCACCTCGGCCTCCCAAAGTGCTGGGATTTCAGTCGTGAGCCACTGTGCCTGGCCTGCTTTTAAAGTCTAACAATTTTTTCACCAGCATGACTAATAGGAATAATTCATGGCTTTCTTTCACTAATCAGATCCTGCCTTTTTAATAAAAATTGTAAGCCTTCAAAAGAGAGCAAGTGGACATAAACTAAAAAGATGGAGATATGAATTCACAATGGTTAAAACTCAGCAATTCATGAGCAACCTGAGAAGCACATTTATTAGAACTCATAAAACAGTAAGTGATAACAGGGAGTGTGTATACTGAAACAGCCAAAGAGACTGAAAAAATGTAGTCACAGGCTCTCCTGGCACAAATTCATTGCCTCTATTCTGGTGAATTTCTCTTCATGGAATTTATGGACACTGAATTATACCCAGACTCTGCTAACTTCTTGGATTTCTCTCTGCTATTGCCTAATGACTCTTTAAGCTACTACATGAGTCTAATCCATGGGCAGCCTGAGCTTCACAAATTCACGTCATCCGCAGAGGGAAACCCACCATCTTCACTGAGTCATTCAAAGCTTCCCACTGCTGGAATGGCATCGAGATCTGGCTCCTTCGCCAGTGGTCATAGTGGGCTCGACTCTCTTCATTGGTCAGAATCTCCTTTGCCTTCTGCAGTTTCTGAAAGGTCTCCACTGGAAAACAAATCAAGAAATGAGCACTTCTCTCTTGAAGAGGATATTTTAAACTCCAAAACCATCCCACTGATCTCACTAGAACCGTAATTCTGCCACTTAGTAGCGATGTGATCTTGGGCCAATTTACCTCGTTAAGCTTTTGTAAAGGGTATCATAGGGACAAGCAAGATCATGGATATAAAGTACTTGGCACACAGTTTATCCACTCCCTTTATTGTGCCTCCGTCATGTGCCAGATGCTACTCCCAGTGTTGACGACAGATGTGAATAATAGACATTATTAGCAGGGGTGAGAGGCATTTGTAAACATTGAAAACATACTATTCTATCTCCTAGGAAGAAAACTAACTTTTTTAGTGCCGGTTATGAGAGATGGCAGTAATTAGGCAAGATGGACAGTAAAACTGAAGACTATAAAGCAGGAATAAGCACGGTGATTTAGAGGAAGTAGAAATTGCCAGTGGAGCTGCAGGACACAAGGCTAGGGGAAGAATGATGAGGGATGCGGCTGTAGAGTAGACAAGAACTCAATCAACCATGGCCTGAGATGTCACGTTAAGGATGCTGGTCTGCTTTTTGTCATAAGACCAATGGGAGGCTTTAAGTATAATAAATAACATGGTTGATGCTGGGACAAATGGTAGCTTGTCACTAATCTACTTGACCAGATGGCATATAATAGAAACCTTTTATAGCTCTTTTAAAAACACCTCCAAAGTCTCCTCTGCCCTCAGTGAAGTAAAAACTTTCTGCAGTCACATAATATGATTCTTTGCTTAAAACTTCCAATAAGGCCAGGCGCGGTGGCTCATGCCTGTAATTCCAGCACTCTGGACCACGAAGCCAAGAGTTCGAGACCAGCCTGGCCAACATAGTGAAACCCTGTCTCTACTAAAATACAAAAAAATTAGCCAGGCCTGGTGGAGGGTGCCTGTAATCCCAGCTACTCGGGAGGCTAAAGCAGGAGAATCACTTGAACCCAGGAAGCAGAGGCTGCAGTGAGCCGAGAGCTCCCCATTGCACTCCAGCCTGGGCAACAAGAGTGAAACTGCATCTCAAAAAAAAAACAACAAACTTCCAGTGACTTCCCACTTCTCTTAGAATAAAATCCAAAATTCATAGCATGGCTACTAGGCCTGTCCTGTCCCTCTCCCTTCCTCCTCTGATCTCACTGCCTGTGACTTAGCCCCATCTCCCCTTGCTGCAGCCACAGTGACTGTTCCCTGGGCACACCAAGTACACTCCAGCCTCAGGGCCTTAGCACTTGCTGCCCCTACCAAAACCACTTTTACCCCAGGAACCCATACGACTCTCTTCCCTCAGATGTCAGCTCAGGTGCCACCTTATCAGTGGGGCCTTCTCTGAGCCTGCTATGTAGAAAGACTGCCCACCCATCAGCCCCACTCTGTCATCTCCCATATCCTACTTTACTTTTCTTTGTAGTACTCCCTGACATTATATAGCTAATTGTTTACGATCTCTCATCTCAACCAAACTAACAACTCCATAAGAGCAGAGATGTATCTGTTTTGTTCTCTGCTTACATCCCTTCCACTAAAGCAGTGTAGTATGTGCTCAAAAAAGCATTATTTGAATGAATAAATTAATGAATGAATGCTTCCTATTTTGAGTATGAATACAAAGATTTTTCCTTTTTTTTGAGACAGTCTCACTTTGTTGCCCAGGCTGGAGTGTGTGGTGTGACTGCAGCTCACTGCACCTCTACCTTCCAGGCTCAGGGAATCCTCCCACCTCAGCCTCCTCCTGAGTGGCTGGGATCACAGACATGTGCCACTAGGCCTGGCTAATTTTTGTACCTTTTGTAGTGATGGGCTTTTCCCAAGTTGCCCACGCTAGTCTCGAACTCCTGAGCTCAAACAATCTGCCCACCTTTGTCTTCCAAAGTGCTGGGATTACAGGCTTGCTCCACTGCTCCCAGCCCTAAAGATAGTCTTCTAGTGCTATTCTCTGAGCTCCAAGGACTAAAGAAATGGCACATATCCACAAAAGATTTGGTGAATTAAGAATATTTTAATAGTATAATTGGAAAATACAATTTAAAATACACTGATAATGCTTAAAAATTCCTCACAGGAAGTGACCAAGATGCTCAGAAACAAAAAGTGTTAGGGCATATTCATATTCAGTACTTAACAGTACCTCCATACCAATTGTGAAAATCCTGAAATACTTCCGCACTCTAGTTGGTAAAGAACTACATATGCTGTTCACAGTGGCTCACACCTGTAATCCTAGTACTTTGGGAGGCCAAGGTGGGTGGACCACCTGAGGTCAGGAGTTCAAGACCAGCCTGACCAACATGATGAAACCTCGTCTCTACTAAAAATACAAAAATTAGCTGGGTGTGGTGGCACACATCTGTAATCCCAGCTACTTGCTTGAACCTGGGAGGTGGAGGTTGCAATGAGCCGGGATCACACCAGCCTGAGCAACAGTGAGACTCTGCCTCAAAAAACAAAAAGAAGTACAGTTACTGAGCCGCCATCCCCCACACACCACCATTTCACGTGTTCCCCAGAGATACTACTTGACACAGTAGAGCACGTCCAGGCCCCTGGTCAGAAGCTGGACAATACAGGTACCTTATGAGCCATTAATTAGTTCAAGGCCTGGCACAGTGGTTCATGACTGTAATCCCAGCACTTTGGGAAGCTGAGGCAGGAGGAATGTTTGAGTCATGATTTCTAGACCAGAGTGGATAACACAATAAGACCTTGTCTCTACCAAAAATTTTAAAAATAGAAAGAAAAAATTAGCCATGTGTGGTGGCACATGCTTGTCATCCCAGCTACTAGAGAGGCTAAGGGAGGACGATCACTTGAGCCCCAGACACTGAGGCTGCAGTGAACCATGATTGCCACTGCACTCCATCCTGGCTGAAAGAGGCTGTCTCAAAAAATAAAGAAACAAAATGTTTAAGAAATAATAAGTAAAAATATAAATTTAAAAATATAAATTTAAAAATATTAGTGAGGCTAGGCATGGTGGCTCACACCTGTAATCCCAGCACTTTGAGAGACTGAGGCAGGTGGATCGCCTGAGGTCAGGAGTTCACAACCAGCCTGGCCAACATGGTGAAACCCTGTCTCTACTAAAAATACAAAAAGTTAGCTGGGTGTGGTGGTGGGTGCCTGTAATCTCAGCTACTCAGGAGACTGAGGCAGGAGAGTTGCTTGAAGCCAAGAGGTGGATGTTGCAGTGAGCCGAGATTGCGTCATTGCATTCCAGCCTGGGCAACAAAAGTAAAACACTGTCTTAAAAAAAAAAAATTAAATGGCCGGGCGCGGTGGCTCAAGCCTGTAATCCCAGCACTTTGGGAGGCCAAGGCGGGTGGATCACGAGGTCAAGAAATCGAGACCATCCTGGTCAACAGGGTGAAACCCCGTCTCTACTAAAAATACAAAAAATTAGCTGGGCACAGTGGCGCATGCCTGTAATCCCAGCTACTCAGGAGGCTGAGGCAGGAGAATTGCCTGAACCCAGGAGGCAGAGGTTGCGGTGAGCCGAGATCGCGCCATTGCACTCCAGCCTGGGTAACAAGAGCAAAACTCCGTCTCAAAAAAAAAATTAAATAATAATATTAATTAATTAATAAAATAGTTCAATATTACTCCTGTTGGTAGTAGCAGTTCATGGATGAACGGGAAGACTTTAAAGATGGGGCTATTGAAAGCTACAGGAAAACAAACGAACAAATAAAAGTATCTTGCCATAGCAGCTTGCTCCAGTGAAAGCAATCCTTCCTGTTGCTAACAACAGTGTAAATGTCCCACCTGTATAAATGAGACGTCATTTTTTCCAACAGTAATAAAAAGCTTACTAAATTACCGCCGAGGCTGTCCGTGCCAGTTGCTGCTCGTGCGGTGCTTGTAAAGATTTGCGTTTTTATGTGTGACTCACCTTCTCTGTGCACAACATTGTTGGCTTCCCTTCTAGGACTCCCAGAATGAAAGAAGCTGCTTAGAATTATTCTGCTGTAAGTCCCTCAACAACAGTTGATAACCAGAAAAATAAAAAAAAGAAACCTTATCTTTCCTATAATGTGACTTTTTTCTTGTTCCATCCACTTCACCACATTTAATAAAAGTGAACTTGGGTTTATATTTGTCCATTAATGTAGCAACTAATCAAATGAGTCATTCAAGATAAACATCGGCCAGTTCTGGGAAGAGAGACCTCATTTTGTAAGCTTATATGAGCAAATGATGCTGGAAGTCTTGCGAGACATTCTGATTTAACTCCATAGAATACAAAGGTTCTTTTAAGTTCATATTTCACAATAGAATTTGTATTATTACAGTCACATTTTAAATGTATGCCATTTACTATTACCTGAGAAATAATAATACCATGTCACAATGTGCTTTGAAAAAATCTGGAAGAAAATATGCCATTGTTAATAGTGCTTCTCTGTCAGGAAAAGATAAAAGCAGACTTTCTCTTCCAATGTTATTTATTACTTATATTATTTTTAATCTATGGGGAAAAACTGTAAAGATTGTAAAGTAAAAAAAAAATGGAGACATTAAAAGATGTTAAGTTAACAAAGGACAAATTGCTCCCTTCTAACATCCAAATGTCTTTGAAGTTTGCATATTAGTAACAAAAATATCATTCCACAGGTTCTTAACTTCTTTTTTTTTTTGATGGAGTCCTTCTCTGTCCACCCAGGCTGGAGTGTAGTGGTGCGATCTTGGCTCACTGCAACCACCACCTCCCGGGTTCAAGCGATTCTCCTGCCTCAGCCTCCAGAGTAGCTTCAATTACAGGCACCCACCACCACACTTGGCTAATTTTTGTACTTTCAATAGAGACAAGGTTTCACCATGTTGGTCAGGCCGGTCTGAAACTCCTGACCTCAGGTGATCCAACCACCTCAGTCTCCCACAGTGCTGGGATTACAGGCACGTGCCACCGCACCCAGCTCCAAGTGAATTTTTAAAGATATTTTGAGGCTGAGTGCAAATATATATATATTAATAAATATACTGATAAAAATGTTTCAAACATATATATATATCAAAGTATGTAAAGATCCACATAACCGGGCATGGTGGCTCATGCACATAATCCTAGCACTTTGAGATTCTGAGGCAGGTGGATCATCTGAGTTCAGGAGTTTGAGACCAGCCTGGCCAACGTGGTGAAACCCTATCTTTACTAAAAATACAAAAATTAGTCGGGCACCATAGTGGGTGCCTGTAATCCCAGCTACTCGGGAGGCTGAGGCAGGAGAATCGCTTGAACCCAGGAGGCAGAGGTTGCAGTGAGCCGAGATTGTGCCACTGCACTCCAGCCTGTGCAACAAGAACGAAACTCAGTCTCAAAAAAAAAAAAAAAATCCACTTAAATATTCAGAAAGTTGTATTAATGAAAATCGAGTAAATAGATGCTTAGATTAAAAAACAATCTCTACCCAAAGGTTGAATCATATATCAAATGCATGCCTGACTAGAGAAAATATTGATGTCTGTGTATCTTTTCATTTTAAACAATATTTACACAGTCCAGTGTTTCTCTGAACAAGCCTTGAGGCAGCCCATACAGAAAAACCCCCATCACTATGGCAACTAGAAATGGCAATGATTACACAGTGATTCATCATGTATCCTGAATAAAAATTGTTTGTCAGGGACAGAGAAACCACTCACAGTCATGCTTCACTGAAAAGAACCCAGTTAAAGAATAACCTGGAGTGGTTGGTGGTGGTTTTTATTGTTTATCAAATTTTTATAATTTTTTTTTCTTGAGACAGAGTTTCACTCTTGTTGCCCAGGCTGGAGTGCAGTGATGCAATCTCGGCTCACTGCAACATCTGCCTCCCAGGTTCAAGTGATACTTCTGCCTATGTCTCCCAAGTAGCTGGGATTACAGGTGCCCACCACCACGCCCGGCTAATTTTTGTATTTTTAGTAAAGATGGTGTTTCACCATGTTTCAAGCTGGTCTCAAATTCCTGATCTTAGGTGATCTACCAGCATTGGCCTCCCAAGTGCTGGGATTACAGGGTGAGCCACTGGGCCCGACTTAAATTTTTATAATTTTATGCTAGGACACCTATCTTAATATTAACTCCAGTTCAGACAGGTAGTTAATATGTCCCCTAAAGAAATGTTCAGGCCAGCACTTTGAGAGGCCAAGGCAGGCAGATCACCTGAGGTCAGGAGATGGAGCCTGGCCAACACGGTGAAACCTTGTCTGCACCAAAAATACAAAAATTAGCCAGGTGTGGTAACACACGCCTGTAATCCCAGCTACTTGGGAGGCTGAGGCACAAGAATTGTTTCAACCTGGGAGGCGGAGGTTACAGAGAGCGTCGAGATCGTACCGCAGCAGCCCAGCCTGGGTGACAGAGCAAGACTGTCCCCTCACACAAAAAAGAAAGAAAGAAAGAAATGCCAGGCGCAGTGGCTCACACCTGTAATCCCAGCACTGTGAGAGGCCGAGGCGGGTGGATCATGAGGTCAAGAGATCAAGACCATCTTGGCCAACATGGTGAAACCCCGCCTCTACTAAAAAATACAAAAATTAGCTGGCCATGGTGGCGCGTGCCTGTAGTCCCAGCTACTCGGGAGGCTGAGGCAGGAGAATTGCTTGAACTCAGGAGGTGGAGACTGCAGTGAGCTGAGATTGCACCACTGCACTCCAGCCTGGCGCCTGGCAACAAAGCAAGACTGTCTCAAAAAAAAAAAAAAAAGGCAGGGAGTGAGGTGGGGAAATCAAATGAGCAAAAGCAATAGTTAAATACCTAACAAAAGATGATCTCACATATAGAAAAATGATCTGTTTTTGCAAATCAAAGGAATCAATGATTTCTAGAGAAAATTAATAAAGAACTTTAAGATAAGGAAAACATTTTCTAAATAAGAGTTTGGATTTGTGCAATATAGAATTATAGATAGGTCTTAGTATGATATTGTCCTTATAGAAAAATCACATATACACACATGCTATACAAATATAGTAAACATAACCCTCAAATTTAAGATATAATATTACCTACTCTGAGGATAACATCAGAGTAGGAAAATACAAGAGACTTCAACTGCACTGGTAAAGTTTTAAGCTGGATGAAACATATGTGGGCATCTGTTAAATTTTTTTTTTTTGAGATGGAGTCTCTTGCTGTTGCCCAGGCTGGAGTCAGTGGCAGGATCTTGGCTCACTGCAACCTCCACCTCCCGGGTTCAAGTGATTCTTCTGCGTTAGCCTCCTAAGTAGCTGGGACTACAAGCATGTGCCACCACACCCGGCTACTTTTTGTATTTTTAGTAGAAATGGGGTTTCACCATGTTGGCCAGGCTGGTCTTGAACTCCTGACATCATGATCCTCCCAACTAAGCCTCCCAAAGTTAAGAGTATGTTTTGTACATACATTTTTTCCATAATTAAAAAGAAAAATCACTATCTGCAATGAGAAACACTTAAAGAATGCTGTAGTCATCCAGGCATGAAATGATGGGGGCTTACCTACAGCAATGGATGAAGGGAAGAGGACACAGTGGAGAGAGATGGGGAAGGTAAATCAACAGTGTTTGTCAATTGCCCAGATATGGACATGAGGGAGAGGAAGGAGACGAGGCTTCCATGACACCAACTGAATGGATGGTGGTGTCATTCATTGAGATGGGAGAACACAGAAAAATTAGCAAGATTTCAGAAGGGGTGATAGGAAAATAATAAGTCTAGTTTTTGACAGGGTGACCTTGAAATATTTCCAAATGGAAATTTCCCAGAAGCAGTCAAAACTACAATCTGCAGATGGGGAGTGAGAACTGAGTTAAAGATAGATTTGGGAGTCATCAAAAGAGCTGATGATTAAAGCTACAGACCTGGACAAGGCTTCAGAGAGAAAACGGGGAGTGGGCTCAGAAGAGAGCTTAGGAGGGAATGTTGGGACAATAGAGGAGTCACAAAGGAGACTGATAGAGAGCAGCCCAAAGAGGCTGGAGGAACCATGAGTGCCTATTATCCTGACAGCTAAAAGAAAAAGAGTGTTTGAAGGAGGAAGGTATGGTTAACAGGGCCACATTTTGATGCAGGTTCAGGAGAGATAAGTACTAGAAGGGAACCACTAGATTGGATACCCAGGCAGTCCTTGGTTCATTTCTGAGAAACTAGGGAAGTCAGAGGGGGACAAATGGAAAAGTAGGGAGAAGGGAAATAGTGACATCAACTGTGGACTTCTTTTTCAGGAAGCCTGGCTCTAAGGAGAAGAAGAGAGGCAGGGAAGGAGAGAAGGAAGACAGGTTGTGGAAGGATTATTGGTTTGTTCATATTTTTCCAAGCTTGGATAGGCATAAGAATATTTAAGTGATAGTGACAGAAAGAAACAAAGGTCCCCAGTTCTTCATTCAGGTCTTCATTCAGGTCCCCAGTAATGAAGAAATCACAACAAGCTTCTCATCAAGACAACTGTCTGGCCAGGCACAGTGGCTCACTCCTATAATCCCAGCACTCTAGGAGGCCGAGGCAGGCAGATCACTTGAGGTCAGGAGTTTGAGACAAGGCTGGCAAATATAGTGAAACCCAGTCTACTAAAAAAAAAACAAATTTAGCCAGGTGTGGTGGTGCACACCTGTAGTCCCAGCTACTTGAGAGGCTGAGCAGGAGAATCACTTGAGCTCAGGAGGCAGAGGTTGCAGTGAGCCATGATTGCACCACTACACTCTAGCCTGGGTAACAGAGTAAGACTGTCTCAAAAAAAAAAAAAAAAAAACAAAGACAACCAACCGGTTACAAATAATTGAGTTATATTAACACTCAACAGCTGGTGAAATAAAGCATTAACTAGAAGAATTTTAAACCACAAAGCAACACATCATAGCAGAAAGAAAAATGGACCTTAAATGACTACTATTAGAAAAGACCCTGCACAGTCTTCTCCCTTTCTATCATCCAACAGTGCAAAGAAAGAATACATTTGAGCATAATAGACAAAAGAAAATGAAGTTACTATTTACTGGTTTTCAGTTCTATATACTACTCATTTTCTTGAGAAACAGCCTTTATGAAATTCTTACCAGCTTTGGAGTTTTCAGGATGCTTGTCTGGGTGACATTCCAGAGCTCTGACTTTAAATTCTGCCAGGATTTGTTCAACCTAAAACAAAAATCAGTGTTTAAAATAAGGAGTCATGCCGGGCGCAATGTCTCTAGCCTATAATCTCAACATTTTGGGTGTATGAGGCAAGGGGATCGCCAGGAACAAGACCAGCCTGGACAACAAAGGGAGACCCAGTATCTACAAAAAATAAAATAATTAGCTGGGCATGGTGACACATGCCAATAGTCCCAGTTACTTAGAAGGCTGAGGCAGGAGGATCCCTTGAACCCAGGAGTTCAAGGCTGCAGTGAGCTATGATTGCACCACTCACCCCTGCCTGGGTAACAGAGCAAAACACTACCTCAGGAAAAAAAAAAAAAAAAGGTCAAACTTAAATGCATGCAAGAAAAAGCTGGGGTATCAATCCTCCCCAAAACAGCCATGATCAACCCAACTTTGTTTTATCCTTATATTTCTACTCTTTTTCCTCGAAGAAATAATTTCCTCAATAACAGTACTCAGAAAGCATCCAATAAATTGAAATAGTAGTTATGGCCAGGTGCAGTGGCTCACACCTATACTCCCAGCACTTTGGGAGGCTGAGGCAGGCGCATCACCTGAGGTTAGGAGTTCGAGACCACCTGGCCCAACATGAAGAAACTCTGTCTCTACTAAAAATACAAAATTAACCAGGCATGCTAGTACATGCCTGTAATCCCATCTATTCAGGAGGCTGAGGCAATAGAATCACTTGAACCTGGGAGGTGAAGGTTGTGGTGAGCCGAGATTACACCATTGCACTCCAGCCTGGACAACAAGGCTGAAACTCTGCCTCAAGAGAAAAAAAAAAGAAAGAAATAGTCGTTGTGATGACAATTTAGCTACTTAATTTAAATAATGGCCCAAGATACCTATGAGCTCAAAATACTTAAATATCCAAAATGGTCAGGTAAGTTTCTCCTAAGAATATACAAAATATTAAAATTCTTCAAAAACGCTTTGCCACCATTACTCAAGGATAACTGTCTCTGAATTAAGAATTATAAATTATAAATTAGAAAGCTCATTATTACTGTCCTTTTTTTTTTTTTTTTTTTTGAGACGGGGTTTCGCTGTTGTTACTCAGGCTGGAGTGCAATGGCACGATCTCAGCTCACTGCAACCTCCGCCTCCTGGGTTCAGGCAATTCTCCTGCCTCAGCCTCCAGAGTAGCTGGAACTACAGGCGCGCGCCACCATGCCCAGCTAATTTTTGTATTTTTAGTAGAGACGGGGTTTCACCTTGTTGACTAGGATGGTCTCGATCTCTTGACCTCGTGATCCACCCGCCTCGGCCTCCCAAAGTGCTGGGATTACAGGCGTGAGCCACCGCGCCCAGCCCCATTATTCCTGTCTTTTGGTCTTTTTATTTTTTTATTAAGAATTTCCAAGGGGCCGGGTGTGGTGGCTCACGCCTGTAATCCCACACTTTGGGAGGCCGAGGCGGGTGGATCACGAGGTCAAGAGATCGAGACCTTCCTGGTCAACATGGTGAAACCCCGTCTCTACTAAAAATACAAAAAAATTAGCTAGGCATGGTGGCGTGTGCCTGTGATCCCAGCTACTCGGGAGGCTGAGGCAGGAGAATTGCCTGAACCCAGGAGGCGGAGGTTGCGGTGAGCTGAGATTGCGCCATTGCACTCCAGCCTGGGTAACAAGAGCGAAACTCCGTCTCAAAAAAAAAAAGAATTTCCAAATTAAGCCAGGCGAGGTGGCTCACGCCTGTAATCCCAGCACTTTGGGAGACCGAGGTGGGTGGATCACGAGGTCAGGAGTTCAAGACCAGCCTAGCCAAGATGGTGAAACCCTGTCTCTACTAAAACTACAAAATTAGCCAGGCACAGTGGCACTTAACACAAAACCTGATTATCATAAGAACTCAATAATAGTGGCTATTACTAAATACAGGTGGTTAGCTGGGCTTGGTGGCTACATCTGTAATCCCAGCACTTTGGGTGGCCAAGGCAGGCAGATCACAAGTTCAGGAGTTCAAGACCAGCCTAGCAAACATGGTGAAACCTCAGAAGCTGAGTCAGGAGAATTGCTTGAACCAGGAGGCGGAGGTTGTAGTGAGCCGAAATCATGCCACTGCACTCCAGCCTGGGCAGTAGAGCAAGGCTGTACCTCAAAAAAAAAAAAAAACAAAAACAAAAAACAAATTAATACGGGTGATTAAGTAACCTGTCCGAAGACATTCAGCTAGCTACTTAAAAAAGCTGAGATTTTTGTTAACTAAGCAGTCAGACTTATTTCTTTCTGTCTTTCTTTCTTTCTTTCTTTTTCCTTCCTTCCTTCCTTTCTTCCTTCTTTCTTTCTTTCTTTCTTTGTTTCTTTCTTTTTCTTTCTTTCCTCTCCCTCCCTCCTTCCCCCATCTCTTTCCCCACTCTTTGTATTAATAGGTATTTGGGCTTCCTTCCTTCCTTCCCTTCTTCCTTCCTTCCCTCTCTCCCTCCTTCCTTCCTTCCCTCCCTCCTCCTTTTCCCCCTTCTCCCTCCCTCCTTTTCTCTTTCTTTTCTTTCTTTCTTTCTCTTTCTTTCTTCCTTTTTTCCTTCCTTCCTCTCTCTCTCTCTTTCTTTCTTTCACCAACCTGGGCAGGTTCACCACTTCTTAGGCAACCTGGTGGTTCCCCACTCCCAAGAGATCACCATATTCATGTTGAGCTTACCGTGGACACCCCATTGGCACAGCACTACAGCCCAAAACTCCTGGGCTCAATCAATCCTCCTGCTTCAGTCTCCCAAGGAGCTGGGATTACAGGTATGTGTCACCATGCCCTATGGCCCAATTCGTCAGGCTTAGGAAATTCTCATGGGGTTCCATATTTACTGACCGCTAATTAATGAAAACAAATTAGCTCTTGTTTGAGAAATTAAATCTCAAACAACTCAGCGGAATATTGTCATAAGATTCACGGTAGAACATGAATCTTATGTTCTTTTCTCAGTTCCATATTATCCTTAGTCAATTCTCATAAGAAATGTCTTCACTTTTACAATCCAAGTCAGACTGTGTTAGATAGGCATATGTATAAAACCCAGAGTAATGACTGTATTCTTTTCTTTGTTAAACTTCTGAGAACACCTTCAAATAATAGAAAAAGATAGACTTCCTGTTAAGAGCCGTAATTAACTATGTGTTTCCTCTTCCTGGGTGCTGTCTTTAATCATTAGTCACCATAACCTGCTTATATAACAAATAAAACTGAGAATTAGACTTGTTTTTAAATTTTAAATTGTCAAATATTCTATAGAGTGTAGTAGTAAGCATTTTTTAATTCATAAGTAATCTATAAATACTCACAAACTCTCTGAAAAACGCTCTACATTTACAGAAAAAAAGTAAAAAAAAAAAAGTCCCTTTATTCTTTGTCCAGGGATTATACTCAAGAGGATAAATTATATCCTTAAAGACACACTTTGACATTGGTGCCATCATGGTTCACTGCAACATCCACCTCCTGGGCTCAAGCAATCCTCCTACCTCAGCCTCCCAAAAAGCTGAGACTACGACATGGGCAACCACACCCACCACATTTTTGTATTTTTTGTACAGATGGAATTTTGCCATGTTGTCCAGGCTGGTCTCAAGCTCCTAGGCCCAAGCAATTCACCTGCTTCAGCCTCCCAAAGTTCTGGGATTACAGGCATGAGCCACTATACCTGGCCTAAAGGCGCACTTTTAATGCATATTTGTGTGTGTGTGTGTGTGTGTGTGTGTGTGTGTGTGTGTGTGTATCTTGGGGTTTTTCAATCATGTAAACAGATAAAATTATATCTATCAAAGATAGAAAGTTTTGGGGTTTTATCGTTGCTATTGTTTTATTTTTCAATTCCTATCCCACTAGAAAACATTCTGGGCTGAGCACAATGGCTCACGCCTGTAATCCCAGAACTTTGGGAGGTTGAGGTGGGCGGATCTTTAGAGTTCAGTAGTTCAAGACCAGCCTGGCCAAGATAGTGAAACCCCATCTCTACTAAAAATACAAAAATTAGCTGGGCATGGTGGCGTGAGTTTGTAATCCCAACTACTCGAGAGGCTGAGGCAGGAGGATCCCTTGAGGCCAGGAGGTGGAGTTTGCAGTGAGCCAAGATTGCACCACTGCACTCCAGCCTGGGTGACAGAGTGAACTCTCTTTTTTTTTTCTTTTTCTTTTTCTCTATTTATTCCAGGCTTCAGGCTGAGGCCCTAGAATAACTCTCTCTTAAAAAAAAGAAAAAAAATTCTAGGCCAGGCATGGTGGCTCATGCCTGTAATCCCAGCACTTTGAGAGGCCAAGGTGGGTGGATCACCTGAGGTCAGGAGTTCGAGACCAGCCTGACCAATATAGTGAAACCCCCATCTCTACTAACATACAAAAATTAGCCAGGCATGGGGACAGGCACCTGTAATCTCAGCTACTCGGGAGGCGAGGCAGGAGAATCACTTGAACCCAGGAGGTGGAGGTTGCAGTGAGCAGAGATTGTTCCATTGCACTCCAGCCTGGGCTACAAGAGTGAAACTCCATCTCTTAAAAAAAAAAATTCTGATATTTAATATATGGAAACAAATGTGTCAAAATGGTTGATTCTCAGTTTGTTTACATTTGTGATTATTATTTTCTTCTTTCTATTTTCTGGGTTTTACCAATTTCATATTTTAAAAAATTAAGAAAGTTCATAGCCTTCTTTCATTATTATTGCTAGTTTTACTATCATAAAGTTTATTTCAAAGCTCCTATAGAGCTGGCTGTATGTAAACTGGTAAAGTGGGTTAGTTTATCTTGAACACATTGTATTTATCTTCTGGCCTCCCCGCTCCATGGGCCCACTGCCAAGTACAGTCTATTGGCGGCTGAGGCCCTCCATGTCAAGGTCCACCAAATCCTGCCTTCCTGACCCAAAGTCCAGGAAAACTGCCTACCTTGTTGTCCTGTAAACATACAAAAAATGTTCAACTCTACGCGTAATCAAATAAATCAAAATATCCAAAGGATGGTAATGAACAGTGTTACTGAGAGTGCAAAGAAATGGACATTCATGTTTTCCTGGTAAGGATGTACATAGGTATAGATTTTCTTCAAAAAAATTGAAAGATACATGTTTGTGTGTGTATATATGTGTGTATCTATTTATAGACAGATAGACACATATATATGAAGAGCTTTTAACTTATTTCCTAGTCTTTGATTCAACAATTCCAATTCTAGGAATTTGTCTAAGGAGATAATCGAGGTAAGAAAAGAATTGCTTTAAGAAGGTCCAAGAATAAAATATAAATTTTAAACAAAACCTATGATAGAGCAGGAGCAGTGTCATCTCGGACAAACACCGACACTTTAAATTCCAGCTCCCTGTCTAGCCTCATGCATTTCAAGGAAATCACTTCTCTTCTAACTACAAGCAGCCAGAAAGAGCAGAATGTAAAATGGGTAAGACAGAGGGAGGTTGCCGGGCGGGGGTCGGGGGAGTCTCTTTAGCAACTGCCAAACTTCACCCTCATACAACGAGCCCTAGTAAAAGAGTGGACCTTAATAAGCACATTCCTTTCCCTTCAGGTGCACTAAGATAGGGAAGCTAAAAGTAGACTTGGGGTTGGGGGAAGCCTGCAGCTGCGGTAAGATGTATAGGAACAGATACACAACTCTCCCTCCCAGATAAGCACAACAAAGAGACACAGAAGCAGTCCAAGCCTCTGATAAACTCTCCCACCCTGAATCCTTAAAAACAGTCGGTACCAGAGTGTGGCTCTGACCTAACTTGGCCAGCTGCCTCTCTCAGATTTATTCAAAATAAACCTGACCCTGTTGACTGT